CATCCCCGCCCGGCCCGGCCCGGCCCCGATCCTCCTCGGGCGACGGCGGAGGCAGCGGCGGAGCGGGGAGCTGCCCACAATGCACTGCGCCGCCAGCATCAGCACCAGCCCTGACATCACCACCCCACCGCCCGGCTCTTACATCACCGCCCTCTCTCTGACATCACATTCCACTCCGCTCTTCTCGCCACGCCGGCAGCCTTAGAGCTCTCCTTCGGATGGTCCCGCTTCAGCTCTTCGGTTCTCCTCACTGGTTATTGCCATTTACTTGACCGCCACCCAGCCCCCACCCCTGCAGTGCCCCATCACTCCTTACTTGTCCCCATAAAACTCACCTGTCTCCATCACCCCTTATCTTTTCCCCTCCCAGTCACTCCTTGCCTGTCCCTATCAGCCTCAACTGATTTCCGCACCGCATCTTCCATGTGTTCATATTACCTGCTTCTAAACTCCGCTCCCCTCACCTGTATCCATCCTCCCACAGTTCCCGTCCGCCATTTCTTCTCACACGTCCCTTGCCTAGAACTCACCACTCCACACATAGGCCTTACCTCCTGGCTCAACCTGTCCCTCTCTGTCTTTGGCCCTCTCCCCCATCTGTTGACAAATTCTGTCAAGCAAATTTCTTATTGCTTACAAATTGGATGCACACTCTTTACCATGACATTAAATAGTCTTCCCAACATGGGTAATAATACCGTATAGAGATTATTACCACCCTTCTGACAAATTTGATTGCTCAGCATTCCCTGAACATACTTTGCACTTTGTCTCTCTCAGGTCCTTCCTTCCATCCTTTGTGCCTTCAACAAATGCATACTGAGTGCCTTCACTAACAACAACAATAATAATAGCAGCAACTATCTACTCCTGCCAGACATTGTTCTAACTTACACATATTAACTCATATAATCCTCATAATAACCCAGTGACATAGCAGTACTAATGTTATACCCATTTTATAGATGAGGAAACTGAGATACAGATAGGTTGAGTAATTTGCCTTAGGTTACAGAGTCACCTTGAATACAGCAGAGCTGGTATTCAAACCCTGGCTTCAGAGTCCATGCTCCTAACCACGATGGAAGGGCCATTGAGTCAACAAGGCCATTCAGAGGAGGCTTCTTGGAAGAGGTGCGTTCAACTGTAATTTGAAGGATTAGTTATTTTCCAACAGGTAAGTGGGGCCAGGGCAGAGGGTGGGAGAGGCTCCCAGGCTGAGAAGAGGGCATGAGGTGATCTGGGGGTGGGCCTGTACAAGATCATGAAGGGCACTGTGCACTATGCCAAGAAGACTGGATTTTCTCCACTTAGTTTTTGAAAATATAGTGGATAATGTCACAAACCATCCAAATCCGCCTTCAGAATCTAGGTACTCATTCCTCCGCCTGCCTGGGATGCTGTAGTCTGAGCACTCTAAGCTGACTCTTTTTTCTGGAAATTGCCCCTGGCCAAGGGAGCTGCCTCAACTCAAGATCATGAACCCTTTCTGGGGCAGCCGATATCTGATTGATGATCAACCTGTGAGGACAAAGGCCTGGCCCCCTCACCCCAACTCAAGACAGCTCTGAAGGGACATCCACTTTCAAAACTGCTGAGAGGGTCACCCGAAGCTTTATTGAGGCTGCACTGAA